GAACCCATCCACCCCTGCGATTTTCTTCTTCTCCCCCCCCTTGAAGATTTTCTTCTTCCCCCACCCTATGCGATTTCTTCTCCCTCCACCCCTTGCGATTAGAGTTGGATTAACGTGTTTGTGCCTAATAAATCTCGGCCGAGAAAGTTGACCGAAAGGGTCTGGCCGAAGGACCAACAACTCGGCCCTAACATCTACCCACAGTCAAGGCATCATTCGCTTCCTTTATTTAAAGACAAATGAGCTTATAAATCAATGCCACCTCGGTAAAATTGGCCGAAGGACACCTCAGATACACAGCCAAATTAGGAGAATCAAGTGATATCGCCACGTGGCATCATGGCCCCACGCTTCATTTAAAGAAGTAGCGCATCTGACCACTGCAGCAAAACCCACTAGCCGCAAAAAAGCATTTAATGCATGAGGGAATGAGGGAAGTGATTGGAGCCAGGATATGGTAAGAAAAATCAGAGTGGTTAGGCGCAAACATTCTTACAGATTGAGAGAGGTGTTACCAACCATCAGACCAGAGCATTAAATGCGTCCTCACGGCCAAAACAGAACCCACGATCAGGGCGGCGGCCGGGATTTATAGGGTTACACCACTATGCTTCACGATCCCAAATGCCGATTTGACTACCCACTTGCTCTGATCAGACCCATCATGCGGAGTTTCAGCCTTGATTGTCTCTCCAGAGGTCCTCCTATAAATACCAAGCTCAAACTACATTCAAAGGGTTCAACACCAAACACAAGCCTCCCACGGAGCAGATTACATTTTTCTGTCATTTACTTCTTGTCATTTACATTCCTGTAATGCCATTTCGATACATTTACTTGTTTTCTTGGGAGTATGGGCAGTTTGTAAAAAGATCCATTCATCAATATATCACACAACCCTTGATTTTCAAGGCGCCGGAGCATCATCCTTGTTACTCTTTCGTTCATCCCATATATCATACGGCCGTCACCACCTAGCGATGCGTCGGAGCACCACCTAAAACCACCATCAGCACCACCATCAACGGCCTTGTAGCTCAGGCCGTGAACCTAACGGCCGAGATCAGTTCCTCTCTCGGCCACAATCGTTTGATTAAAAGTTAGACTCAAACAGGCGCATCACTCATATATCCAACCATTCACATCACCCTCAAACGCACGGCGAACTGTGCTGGCACGCCCGCGCATTCAATCGCGCAAAACCCAAGAAGGACGACCTGTGTTGACGCAGACCCACTCAGCCCGGAGCACCAGGTCGTGAGATTCGCGAATGCCAACATAACGTAGCACATCAATTGAAATAGATAACTTAATTAAGAAACAGAAACCTCAAAACCAAAGAATAATAGTATAATTAAGAAAATAAATGAACGATTCCGTCATTCTGTTTAAGTTTCCTTTCCAAAATCCAATCCCACCCGCAACCCAACCATCCAAATCCAAATTCAATCACAACACTAATTAAATACTTTTATTATTAAAACAAAAACACAACCCAACAAAACAAAAATAAAAAAACACCATTAATCAATCACATGTTGTTGCATGTCAGCAGAAGCAGAAGCAAAAAAAAACCCACCTCAATCATTCTTCTATTCGAAAAAAATCCCCAATCCTTCTCAAGCCTTCTTCGTCAGCGATCGCAGAACAAATTTCAAGGCTTTCATAGCTTGCTTTCTGTTATGGGGGATAGAGGTCGAGGTCTCCGTTTCGAATCCCTCGAACCGTTGCGAAATTGAGGAAGAAGAAAATTGCAGAGGGGATGGGTTCTGTGGGTTCTGGGTTCGTGGGGGTTGGAGAGAGAGAGAGAGAGAGAGAGAGAGAGAGAGAGAGAGAGAGATTTTGGTTTTAAAAAAAATATATTTTATTCATATTTTAATCAATTTAAAATTAAAAAAATTAAAAAATGTGGGACCCACAATGCCACGAATGCAACTAACATAGAGATCTAACAGAAACCCTAACAGCAGAATCACAATGTAACAAATTTAAAAGTCTGGGGTATGTTATTGTAAAATTAAGAAGATTGGAACTAACATGTCTTAAGAGTGTAACCACATGGTACTAAAGTATAATTAACCCTAATTAAAAACACCAAAAAAAATATCGGGAGCTTCATTTAGGCCCAAAATATAAGAAAACCCTACACCAAACACAATTTAGAAAGAAACATCAACCTCATTTACAAAAATCAAATAGCTCTTGAAAATCCGATGAATTACAAAGCTGCCACCTCATTCTTAAAAGAATCCCAAACTGAATTTTTATAAAAGAAAAAAAAAACCCATATTACTAAATGGCCTTATAAACATATCAAAGTTGCAGCCCATGCCACTGTTTTAAAAATATAATTAGATCGATGAGAAAACCCTAGTCGCACTCTGGTCCCCTTTCTCCTTATTGACAACCAACTGCAAGGAAGCTAAGGAGGGGAGGAGGGGAGGTGGCCACTGCCCCTCCTCCCTTCTGTGCATCTTCCCCTTCCCCTCCTCATCTCCCCTTCTTTTTCCTATCTTTTTCTTTCCTCTTATCCCCTTTTCTCATCTCCTTCCCTTCCCCAGATAGTCTAAATCTGTTTGTCTCTTTGTTTTGTTTGGTTGTTTTTGCAATGTTCTAGGTGACTGGTGTTGTCTTTGTCTCGGCAGCAGCAACAGTAGTGACGCTGGATTGTGTCTCTCCTTGGAAGAATTGTGATACCTAGTAGTTGATGTTTTGTCTCTGTTTTAAGGACAGCGGCAACAGGACGCTAGTGGTAGTTGTTGGGATGTGGTGCTCTTTTCTACTCTGCGCAGAACGAGGAACTATGCTTGGTCATAGGAGGTTTTCCTTTTCAAGTTCTGAGTTGAAATGGAGTGCTTCTCAGAGGTCTTTTTACTATTGTTTATGTGTTCCTCCTCCGTGTTCTCTCCTGGTTTCTACTATGGTATGCCTTACAATTTGTGTGGGTGTCAAATGACTATGATTTTGCTCATAAAAGGCTTCTTTTGACAGTTGGGATGTTCTGCGGTCCTCCCCTGTGGGTTTACTATTTGGGTTTCTGCGGTCCTCTCATGTGGGTCTACTGTGTTGGTCTCTAGTTGTTGTTCTCGTCGGAGGTCTTTGTGTTAGTTTTCGTTTTTGACTTGTTCTTTTATTGTAATGGTCCAAAGTGACTTGAATTGAACTCTCTTGTTAGTCCATGACATGTGTGGTACTCTTTCCTCCCAGGGGGTTTGTCCCATGAGGTTGCCCTATGAAGGTTTTAACAAGGCCACTGTATCATGTTGCTCTTTGTATGTCTGTGGTTTTATGAATGAATTCTCCTTCTAAAAAAAAATGTCCAATTCCCACTAAAATTAAGGTTCAATTCCAAATTGGTAACATGTGATTTTACTCGTAAGGCACATTTGCTTATTTTCTCTTAATTTTAATAATTAGATATCCTGGTCTTCCCAACTTTTTGTAATGCGGTTCCGCCTTTAGGGTTTATGGGTCCGACATTTTTATATGAATACGACCTGAACTTTTAGACATGTGCGCCATTACCACCCGAACTTTTAATTTTTATTTTTAACTACCTGAACTTTGTTAAGTATTGTAATCCACCATCTAAGTCTAACTCCGTTAAAGTTTCTGTTAAGTATAAGAGCATTTTTGTCAATTCAATTGAACTAAAAAATAAAAAAATAGAATTTAAAACCTAAATAAATAAATAAACAAGTTAACCTTATTATACCATGTCTTCCCATACCCCTACCCTTTTCCAACGCCATTTCTCCCCAAACTCCCCACCCTCTGCAAACCCCCCTAACTTCTCTGTCTTTTACCGTCTCTTGAAGTGGGTTGTTGAAATTGAAAGTGGCGCAAAGAGAGGGAAAGTGGCAAAATACCTAATCTCTATGAACTAACAAATTGCAGACAAAATACCTCTAAAGTAAAACAGAGGGAAAGTGGCGCAAAGAGCCCAAACAAAACAGAGCTTTTCACATAAAATTAACATAACAGTTTGTGCATCATAAGTTCTCTTGGAAACCCTAAATCCATCTATAGAATTTAATATATATATATATATATTATCCAAATGATACATGAGGAAATAATAAACAAAGGGCCCTGCTACTCCACCACATAAACAGATTCAAGCAAACATGTTCCAAAAAACTGCACGATATATATTCATATGAAGTGCATCAATAACAGTGTACTAAAAAATTAACATAACTGTTTATGCATCATAAGTTCATCTCATTAATTAAATAAAAAAATGTACACTGGTCAAATTTTAGTTTTTTTTCTTCTTCTTCAATTTCCATGTATTTGTGTTTCTTTATAATACCGATAGTAGGAATGGGTATATATATATATAAACTATATTAATATTGACATTAAAACATACATAAGCTAAAGTCTATGAATAATTTCTATACATGAAATCAATTATGCAAGCAACATTAGTTTTCTTTCGAAGAAAACTAAACTCACAAAAGCAAAGAGAACCAACTCATTACATAATGAGTTCTTGCAACTTATTCCGACTCAGAAAGAGTCAAACAGAAAGTTAACACAATATAACTTGCACAACTACTGTACTTTATCCATCATTTTGATACACAAATTTTATGATCTCTTGAGGAAACTTTGGAACCACTGCATCGAGTCTTTTGGGTATCTTTTCAGTCCATTGGTGTAATCAACATAGTTGATACCAAACCGAACAGTGTATCCAGAATTCCATTCAAAGTTGTCTAGAAATGACCATGCAAAGAATCCCTGCACATTAGCACCCTCTCTGCAAACACACAAAAAAAACAAGAGGAACGTATTCAGGTCAATGTAGTGATTAAATAAGTGAAATGTACGAAGGCTAGACCATTCGTTGACAAAAACATACTTGATTGCTGCTTGGAGGTAACAAAGGTGGTGATAGTAGTAGTAACTTCTATCGGGATCCTTAAGGGCTATCTGAAGTGGTACTTTGTGATTATTGAACTCATCCACGCCTGCAATATAATGCAGTATCATATGCATGCATTTTTTTTATCTAAAAAAGAAATGTGCATTAAACATTGATGATGCAATTAATTAATATTTAAAAGTATTAATTACCATTCTCAGTAATGTACATAATTGGATTATTATACTTTTCCTTTGTGTAGAGTATAAGATCGTAAAGTCCTTTTGGGTAAATATATAACCAGTCTGAAGCAGCCTGCAATCCCATTGGAAGATTAGCGAGAATTTCAAGAGTTAATTGTCAAAATGCCAATAGCTTAAGGTAACAATTTTTTACATACCTTTAGACCAATGGGGACCCCATTAAACTCAGCTGCCACAATAAATATGAATATGAATATTAGGATCTAATTATTCTTAGAACTTCATTAATTACTTGAAGTTTTCAATTTATACTCACTTGTAACATTAACATAATTATCAGTCATGTAGCTTGGAGGCGTAGGTACAGAATAACCTGCAGGGTAAGCACTTGCATATCTAGCAGAATAGTAATTTATTCCAATAAAATCATATGACCCTTTCAACAACTTGGATTCTTCATCTGTGAATTTTGGTAATCGTTTTCCAACAAGAAATCGCATGCTATGTGGATAATCACCACTTATCAATGGGTCCATAAACCTATGAAAATATGAAAATTCCAAGCGTGAACTTATAGTATTGTATAAAGTAATGCTATCAAGCTAGTCAATGTTATAATGCACAAATAAAGCATTGAAATGAGTTTATATATAAATGAATAATACACTTGCCATCCAAACATAAAATCCAAAGCTCGAAATGCAGCATCTATATCATGCTTTGCCTTAGAAGTGGGCACAAACCAGTAAGTATTCACTGTTATTCCTATCACACCTTTTTGACATGCCTACATAAGAAAATTGAATATGTTTGTTGGTTTAGAACGAGATAAAAAATAAATAAATCTTTGTTTGTCTACATATCCAAACTATTCCCTTTTTTTATTGTTACCTAGTACTATGCAGACCAAAGAATAATAATAATAATAATAATTCATCGGACCTGATATTTATCCTTGTATAATTCTACAGCGGCGATATGAGCAAGGAGTTGGTTGTGTGTCACCAAATATGGTTCAGTGCCCGAATTTCCACCGAGGCATGTTTGGTCGTACCAATAAGAGCATCGGCCTGGTGCGTGGACCCCGATTGCATAACCATGGTTACTCACAGTATATGGCTCATTAAATGTCGTCCAATACCGTACTCGATCACCAAATTCCTTATAACAAAGTTCTACGTATGCCCTAAAGTCATCTCTGTGTATACACATTTCAAAATATATTTATTATATATAGTATTATTTATTTATTAAAATTATCAATAATATCTAGAGCCTGAAATTTATTCACTTACATAATAAGAGGGCTTAAGAAACCACCATATTTGTCTTGTAAGGCTTGGGGAAGATCCCAGTGAAAGAGTGTAACATATGGTTTCATACCTTTATACAGTAAAAGAAAATTAAAATTAAAATTAAAATATGTTTTATGAGTGCATGTCCTACATTAATCTAATGGGGACGATATATGAGATTGCCAGTCGTATCACCTTTCTTTAGGATTTCATTAATGAGATTATTGTAGTATTCGATTCCTTTCGGGTTAGGTTGACCAGTTCCTTCTGATAATAATTAAAAACAACAAGCAAATATAAGCCAATACTTACCTATAAATATAAATAACATAAAATAAAACATGCTAAAATTTAAATTTTTGTGATCACGATCAAATATGGTATTGCGTATGATCTACTTACTTGGTAACACTCTGGACCATGAGATGGAGAACCTGTACACTTCCATTGACATATTCTTTATAATTTCCACATCCTCCTACAGTGACACAATATATATATATATACACACACATAGTTATAAGATAGAAGCTAAAAACTAAGGATTCAATTAAAATTCAGTATGTACACTTCAACTACAGAAGGCCGAGAGAATGAAATATGTGATTGTAGAACCTTATAGCGATGATATTCATCAATGGCGACATCTCCATTACTTTGATCAGCGATCTTTTCTACAATTAACCAAAAAATAATTTTAACTTTTAGAGCATAAAGTTCGAGGAAATCATATAATGTAAACTTCGTGTGTAGACTAATCATGCATACCACATGACCACTAGTAACTAAAAATAATACAAAGTAATCTAGATATATTCAAATAGCTAGCAACCTTCTTCTTCTTGTAACTTCTCATTTCTTCTCAAGCTATGTGTCATTCTTCTTACACTTTAAACATTGTCTTTAATACATTAAAAATGCTAAAATTAATGTTCCATGTTTAGCCCTATTAGATGTAACAGCCTTCTTCAATTCTCTACAACTTTCTAACTATCTAGTGGAGTTGTCTCCATTTTGTTGGATGAGGTTTCAAGTTCGACATATATTTTTGGACAATTTGGTAGCTAGTCGTGGTTATGGCGTAACTCTGTTGATGCATTATCCCATTGTAAAATGTACACTCTCCACTTTAATTTCTTAAGAACCGAAAATATTAATTTCCATTTTGTCTTTGAAAGAAAATATATTCATACTCCGAACATTCTTTTAAGGTGTACAGATTTTTTTGTATGTGCCCTCGACGTACTAGATTAGGTACGTAATGTATTCCAAGGCCTTACAAAAATGTTCATAATTTTGCTACTTAGTGAATTCGCATATAATACACATATTGTACATATATATACTCTAGTTGATTGATTGGTTGACAGACCTGGATGGTTGTGGGTGAAGGTATCCCATATGCTTGGTCCTCTACCATCTTCGTTTGCAGCACCTTCTACCTGAAATGTGCATACGTATTACGTATACGTATATATATAAGAGGATATACCGAATGAAGATTAAACCTAAGTAACTTAATTAAAACAACTTAAAGAGTAATTATTTAAGCCATAGAAGGGAGATGATGACCTGGTAAGATGATGCAGCAGCGCCAAATATGAAATCTGGTACAAGAGAATCAAAATTGGTCCTGTTCAGATTTTGGCAATCAATGCGTAGAGAGGGTTTTTGCCAATGCAGGCTTTGGTATTTGCCAATGCAAAGCCAATAAAGAGAAGCACCACACATAAGAGCAAAGAGCGTAATTGCATTGCCATAACCAAGTCTTTCAAGTGGAGAGGGCTTTTGGTGCTCTTCCTGCATGGAGTTTATATACAGCCTAGAGGCTACACGAGAGAATAAGTTATAACGTGTTAACAACGTTTTTTCTTTCTTTTGTAAACGCATGCGGGAAATCTAAAATAGTTTACGATAAATTAGTACAATCACAATCTGTTTAAAGTGAATTAAATTAGTTCATTCACCATCTATTTAAACCAAAGATGCTAAATTTACCTTGCGTACAAACATACTAAGTCCATCTATAATGCTAGATAACTCAAACCCAAAATTTCCCACTCAAAAATAGAACAATTCATGTATATCCCATACTCACACAATTTTCAAAATTCTTTTTTATGTTAATTTTACAATATTAAACCAAAATTTATTACAATATTAAAGCTGAGGAATAGGATGTGGTTTTAATTTAAACAAAAATTTGACCGAGAAGTGTAGTTTTTAATGTTAATTGTTTTTATATGTGAAGATTTTTTTTTAAAATTTATTTGAAGAGTTGAATGTTAATAAAGTTGGGGAAGCGTGGTGGAACTGAAAAGAGGAGGTGGTCCACCAAGGCAATGCACTAACTCTGTCGGCTGGGGTCCATTTGCATGGGTTGATTTCAACTTGAGGGAGTGAACTGATCAGGTGTGCTGAGTTTGCTATTTTAAACTGGAAAAACGAAATAATTGTCTGGGATGGTCCGTCCTTGCAGCTAAGTCTTCCTCAGAATGGTATTTGTAAATTTTTCAATTTTTTGTGCATCATTTTTTACTTCTTTTTGGTTTCATGAACTATGAGGAATGTTTTCAATAGAATTTTTAGTTTTATTTGATTTGGAATCCCAATTGAAGGGATTTTCAGAAATTGAAACAATATAGTACCCAATTATTTTACTCAAATAGTATAATACATGGTTATCTTTATATAGCGAAGAGTGCTGCTATTTTCACCCACCACCAGTTCTATTTTCCCACCCACCTTATCTTTAAACTTTTAAAGACAAATTTAACCCTATTGTAAAATGACTTAAAAGGACTTAAGGAAAAAGAAAGAGAAAAAAAAAAAAGGCGTAAGACTTCTCAAGTTCTCACGTAACCCTATCGTTTGACAGAAAGAAAAAAAACACAAGAAAGCCATGACTCCTTGCTCATGATTCCTCTTATGACTTTTCAGTGCTCAGAACTCAATTCTCAAATAATTTTCTTCTCTTTTCTATTCATTCAATCAAATTGTTTATGAAGAAGAAAACAACAAGATAATGGATGTTGAAGAGAATGATTTTGGCGAAAAGGTAAGGAAATTATATTTGATCACAGAATTTCTAAGATCTTTACGATTACTTAAAGCATTGGGAGATGAGTATTTCTTGGACTCTGATTTTTTTCCTTAAATAAATTAAAAATCTGAAAACCTGGAGATGAATCAACAATTCTACGATTTGGGCTCTGTTGATTACACAAAGAACGTTCCTTACAAAACCAGTTTGGCTGAGGATTCTTTGAGGCATGAGAAGGTGAAAAAGGCTTTTGGGGTTAATGGTTCGTTGGTTTTTGAGGAATGCAGTGATTTGGTGGGGGTTATTTTGCATGAAGATGTGTGAAATCCATGGTGGAATATTTGATGAAGAAGAACAAGGTCTTCCTGTACCAGGGTAGGTTTGATTTGAGAGATGGTGTAGCTTCCATTAAGGCAGAGAGAGATGTATAGTAAACATAAGAGACAGAGAGAGATGGAAAACAAGATATAGCAAAAATGAGAAAGTCCATTAAATGTGTAGACAATAAAAGTAAAGGTATATAATATCTTTGATCATAAACGATTTTGAACTCCTTGAATATTAAATGCAAAAAAAAAAAAAAAAAAAAAATATGTGAGTTTAATACATTATCGTCCATCTCAATAGAAAAATACCCGTTAAATCAGAAACGATTTTGAGCTCCTTGAATATTAAATGAAAAAAAAAAAAAAACGTTACTTACTGCATGTGTATCTTATGTTTGCTGTGTCAGCCATAAACTTGAGGATAGCTATAGACGGTCCCCGCTGTCGGAATTTTGGTAACAATAGCGGCAAATCACTCGAGAGATTAATATTCAAAGACGAAGAGAGAGAGAGAGAGAGAGAGAGAGAGAGAGAGAGAGAGAATTCTGGAATTGGAACTCAAAGGTTTGCTCCAGAGAGAAGTCCAGACTTTCTTTTTTCAGTATGGATTCACTTGGAGAGTAGCACTCTCTCTTAAAGTATCTATTGGAATGTTAATAATTACACACATGAAAAATGTCTTCAGTAATTGGCCCACATTGTTGACCATCTTACCAAACAAAGGAAAGGCTAACAATAGATCAACACATCGTGGCTTCCTAGTAGCCTATAAAAGTTGGCTTCTGAAAGTTTTCAACAGACACAGCTCGATCTGCTGTATATTTATAGACTGGTTGGTTTACTTCACGAAGTAGCTGTGCATCTGAAACAATCTTAACATCTGAAACAATTTCTTATATGCGGTTCAAATCAATGCTTTATTTTTGTTGGTTGTAATAGGAGAGGAGAGGCAATAATTTCACTGGCTAGATTTGATAGATCGCAGATAAAAAAATAAAGCATTGAATTCAAAGTAAACGATGATGCAGTGAAGGAGTGACCGACCAAAGGAAACGATGCATTATTGTTGTGCAAGTCAAAAAGGGTTGAGTGTTAGCCTTTCTTTTGTTTGGTAAGATGATGAACAAGCGGGCCAAATTCCAATCCAACGACCTAACAATATTCTTTGAAACCACCCGTCTCAAACAAATAATCTGTTTGGGTTTCTGGGTGAGAGAGAGTGATGAGAGACTGAGAGGGAATAAAGAGAACAAATTGAGTTTTTTCCTTGTGTTTGTTTTTGTGCAACGTTTTTCATTTCCAGTTTGTGTGGACCTGCAATAATGACGGGAGGACTTGCATTTGAAAAAATCTTGAACATCCATTAAATTGAATGGGTAAAAGCAAGTCACGTCACATGTTATTTTCGCATAATTTGAAGCCTACCGAACATCTTTCTATACCAAATGGTGGAACCCAGCAGAGCAACGCCAACGCCTATTCACCTTTCTCCTTTGTTTTTTTTTGTTTTTTGTTTTTTTAATAATGTTTTGTTTCTATCCTAAGAGATTCTTTTTTTCAATCTTAATTCCATAAATTCCATTTTTTATAGTCAATTTATAGATTCATGTTTTGTTTCTATCCTAAGAGATTCTTTTTTTCAATCTTAATTCCATAAATTCCATTTTTTTTAGTCAATTTATAGATTCTTGAAAGGCCATTCCAAATTTCTTCATAACATATTATCTAATTATGTATCTAGGTTTCACCACTGGTGTTTCGTATCTCAGTTGCTAGATCAAGGACACCTCATAAAACGAAGGGCCGAAGCCATTTTTTTATCAACGGGCTCACCACAACCTGATACAGTGATACTCAACCAAAATTAGTTTGGTTCAAATACCTAATCTTCATGAAAAACTCACATTTTCTTTCATCAACTATACTCTGATGCTCAACTCAATGGAGGTTTGTTCTTTCATATTGAAAACTCATAAATATAGATAACAATTGTGCCAATGCTTCTCTGTGGTTGAAGAAAAATTGTTCTCTAAATTTATTGTAAATTCTGCTATAAAAAAAAAAACAATTTATTGTAAATAAACAAAGGAACAAAGAATGAAAACAAAATTAGGGAAAGCTAGAAACGGTATGTTATGAGAGGGTGTTGATGCCACTTATCGGTGAATAATGTTGGATTACTGTAAGTGTATGCATTTTGTGATTTTCTTTTGGCTTCACTTGACAATTTTGTAATAGGACAATCATTGTATTTTCCCAAACTCTAGTTTAGATTAAGAATTACATCTCTAGGTGTTCTTATTTGGCTACATTATGATGGACAACAATGTGTTTGACAAAGGTAAATTTTGCATTGCATTCATTAAATTCCTGAAGATTATGATTAGTCATCTTTCCTTCGTATGACTAGTCAACCTTTGCATTAGTAGGATTTCCAGCTCACTATTTCCAGCTAGATCTTACCCATCTGTTTTGTCCTATTCTATGAAATTCTCTGTTGCCTGTACGATTCTAACCTAGGAATTTTTGTGTAAAAACCAAAGGATTCCTCATTTGGCAACCGGCTCTTTGGTGGGTGAGTTTTGGAAAGTTTCTTAGAAAACTTTCTCTTCTTCTTCCTCAAGAGCAAACCTTCATATTTTTCATCTTTGAGTTTTCCAAATTGATTTTTCGAAAACTGCATTTGAAATATGAAAACCTCATCTTGCTAGATCAAACACTCTCTCATATATATCTAGGTCAAATTCAAGATTGATTTCTTCAAGAGTATGGTTTCTTGAAGAAATTGGTCATTTACTCCTTGAATCCAAATTTCGTTCTTGTCCAAGTTGGAGCTGGCTAGCTGGTGCCATGGGATGATAGAGCTGAAGAAGAAGCTGTCATTGCCATGAAAGACTATGCTGCTGGTTTTGCTAAGCTGGAGAAGAAGATTGCACAAAGGAGGTATAGCTCATCTTCCTAAATAGACCTAGGATTTGTTGAGCTTGCTAGTGTTTCTTTGTAAGAATCTTTTTGCTTAGTGAATGCCTGGTCGGTTGATGACTCCCAGTTTTTCCCAATGATGGGTTTTTGGTGAACAATTTCTGGTTTGCATCTCTGTAATTTTTTGGGTTTGTATTCTTGACAGTTGATTAGTCATAGCATGATGTTCATGTATTTCTGGGTTTGTGTTCTTGCGGTTGACTAGTCATCCTTTTTTGCTGTTTGGTGTTTACTTGATTATGATGCCTTCACACGCTTTCACCATAGTTGTTGCTAGCACATAGGATGCCTAGATTGACGGGTCCTTCTGAGTGCTTAGGTTGTCACTAGTAATTCTCTAGGCTTGCAAGTACATATTGATATGCTCTGTGTATGTTCTTGGTTGTGGTTATTCATGTCTGACAGTTGACTAGTCATACGCGTATTTGGTCAAGGTCTAAAGTGTGTGAAGATCACCGTGTCTACTTGAATAGCATTTAAATTTACCTCTCATCACCTAAGTACCAATTTCAATTACTTGGTTGTTTAAGATTTTTCCGAATGCATATAAATGTACAATATTTTATTGTAGAGACTCGATTTTGTTCATAAGAGGAAAAATAAAATTTTTATCCAAAAAAGAAGATGGAAAACTGACGCCGTCAGTTAGTTGCAATAGTGTATTTTGTGAGAAAAAATATATATATGTGACGTGGGTTGCTTTTACCCATTAGATTTAATGAATGTTCAAGATTCTATCAAATGCAGGTAAATGCACAATCCCTAAATGTAGAGGCTCGGAATCCCCTTATTACAGCTCCTTGGGGACCATGGATAGAAAGCTACTCTAAATTGTTAAAGATCTCATTTTTTTAATAGTTTTTTTTTTCACACATGACATACATTTTAGCAAAGCAATGGGTCCCATTTTTTTGTCATGTCGGCATTTTTAATGAATTATATGACAGACTTGAAGGTAGAGGATAAAGTAAGACACAATGTTAAATTCAGAGAGACGGGCCAGCGGCCCACTACTAACAACGCCGATATTGTCCTCAACTTAACCACCTATAAAACCCAGTAGGTGTGGGGTTTTATCACAAAAGGCATATGTACAATTAGTAGTGGAACCATTCATTATATGTTATATTTTATTTTGTCAAGTTTCTGATGTGAGACTTTATTTTTCAACACGCCCCCTCACGTGGGACCACCACATAGTAGGCCACACATGGAGCCAAGTTCACATCGGAGTCAAACATTCAAGCCTAACACATGAACACCACGTAATGTGTAAGGGATAAGGGAAGGCCTTGGTACAATTCGAAGTGGAACCATTCATTATATATTATTTTATTTTGTCAAGTTTCCGATGTGGGACTTTATTCTTCAACACACAAAACATTGGTCATAGAGTCAATGCAGTTATTTTCATAGAAAGATGTTCCATTATTTGGGCATCCCTAAGCCATCAAACTTCACAAAGAAATTTTACATGTGAATTGTCAAAGATAAAACCAAAGTCACTATGAATTGTCAAAGTCCTCCTACTTTGTCTACATGTGTGTCTCAAGACAATGTTCTTAAGGCCATCCCCAATGGGGGCTCTGAATTGGGCTGCACCACCCTTGGGCTGCAATATATAGCAACTGAAGCAAAAAAATCATCCCCAGTGGTTCAGTTTTGGGGCCTTAAATGATTGAGCCCCACCAGAGCTATACCCAGATTTATGTTCATGGTTGAAGCCCCTGAAACCGAATGGGGCCCACATAAAGAAAAAGCTGCCAACCCATATGTGTTGTTGGTGACTTGCCTTAAGACTGCAGCTCATGATACTCTCTTCTTGACCAATGATTGCTTCTCCTTGTTTTATATTTTATTTAATGTGACCAATGAGAGGAGATGGGTTGGATAGCGTTTGTTTTTGTGTTTTTTTACGGATGAGGCTTTGTTTTTTTTCAAGGCAACAATCAAGGTTTTTTTTTCATAGAAAAGATTTTCAAATCTTGTCTAAATTTTGATTTTGATTTTTTTTTGAAATGTTCAAAAAAAAAAAAACTAACATACTATAATATACACTAAAGCAAATATTTTTTTTATTTTAAAAATAACACGTATATAAAATTATATCGAATATAAAGCTCTAGATATAGAGCCCTTCTGTTGTGAGAGTGATTCCTTTAGAGCCTCAAAGATTCCATCGGAGCTCTAAATGGGGCTCTATCAACTCCTTTTAGAGCCCCAACCATTGGGGATGGCCTAAGGAGAGGAATTTTTCGGACTCTTATGGCTTTTGGGAGGACCAAAGTTTGAAGGGTCTTGTAAAGTGCTACATATGTGATGGTGCTGATCACATTGATGTGGAATGTACAAATAACCACATCATAGAGTCTAAAGGGAGAGAAGAGTCAATTAGTGCACAATTGAGTGACAGTGATAGTGACGATTCCAACAACTATATCACTTCATCTTATGAAGAGGCAAATAATTTTGCCCTTGCTGTGTCTATTCATAACTCTAGCCTTGCTAGAGTTCATGTAGTTAATGAAGGAAAATTTGATTCATGAAATGAATATGTGTCTAGAGATGACAGGCAGGATGACCAGTCATACAGGGAACTTTGTGAAAAGTATGATAT